TTAGTTTGCATGTCCAAAGAGGTGTTAAAATATGCCAAATTCCCAAATGAGCAATAAAACAAGTTTAAGAAACAGAATGCTCAAGTCAATAAGCCTAACATCAGTCTACTTCTTCTGACTAGGAGTAGTATGATCAAGGCACTTTATCAAAGCCGCTAACAGATATCTGCAACTGTTAAAATCATCCTCTGGCAAAGGGCTAAATGCATATCTTGTGCTTAAATGTGTTTTTTTAAAAAACACTTTTAAAAATTCTTTTAAAAAAGGAAACAAGTAATATTCCAAAAGAAACAATATACTGTTTAAACCAGTAAGTATTGGGCTTCCGCTGTGCCAGAAATTTGAAAAGCGGTATGGCACAGATCCCACAAAGAAGAACTAGACTCTGCTCTATCCGGTCCTGCTGTTGAAGGTTTCAGTAGTTAGCAATGTTTTAAGGCCAATGTCACATATTATGTGGAAGTGGTGAAGCAGAAAGTGCAAGTGATATTTCCACATAACATACAAGGGTGCTCTAAGTAAGAAACCTCTGTATTTTCATCTATTTGTGTGCTCATGCCTGTACTTCTGTCCCATCAATCAGACCAACATTGAATCCTGCTCAGTAAAATGTACAGGTAATGAGACCTTCATTATCTCTTTTTGTAGCTTGTTTTTTAATGTAAGTTTCCCCTTTCCTTGTTTTCCTTTTCTTTCTTTACACTAGGTGTAATGAGGACAATGCTCCTATATTTCTAAAGCAAGCGGTTCTCTTGCTCATATTACTGTTCCAGTTTTCTATTGCTAGCAAAATAAACTCCCATGAACAGTCCAGTCCATTAGCTGTCAATCCCACTGTCCCTTGTTAGGATTGCAGCCTTATTTTTTTTTTCTATATTAACATTACCAGTGAACTAAAACAACTGCATGCTAAAGTTCCTTTAGATCATAATTTGTTGTTGTTAGTGCTATATTTTGCCAGCATTTTCACTGTGTGAATTTTTGGCCCGGTGTGAGAGGGACCTGTGAACCACTCAGTAATGGACCAAATATTAAATATATGACCCTGAAACACTCTCCTTGTAGTTAAAGAGACACATACCAAGGATCAATCAAAATAAAAATGAACTGGTAGCACTTTAACAAGCTATAAAAAGTTTTACTGCTTCATTGAGGCTTATTTCTTCTGTAGTTTTCATTTCTAAACTACCAATGTCCTGATATCCACTAAAATTAGCAACTGTTACCATTATATCCTTTGCACTTTTAAGCAAAATGTTCCTCTCTTTAAGGGTCACCTGTGATAGCAGGTTTTCCATTTAATTTTGACTCGTAAAACTTAACAAAACATTGCAAAGCTGGATCCTTCCCCCTTTTCTGTGTTTAGGAACTGGTACTATATTTCCCTTCCAGTTATTAGAAAATATTAAAAACGTTCTCTTTAAAACCAGACACTACCCTTCAGGAAATTCTAGCATTTCAGGTATGCCCAAGCCAGCACCTTTGCTTGCATGCAGTTACCCTAATACACAGAAGCCGGTCTAAATGTAGACTAGCTCCACAGTAAAAGCAAAAGGTTCTGGAGCATGAAAACCTGCACCATCCAGCACCAATGACTGCATGAGCAGAGCTCCTATAACTAGCTAGTGATCGGTGCTGTCATTTGTAGAGGTGCCAATCACTTGTTGTTGAGCATTAGCAAGGGGATAGTGAAGCAGCTTTTGGTCCCAGTCCAAACGCTGCTACCCACTGTAACCGGTGAGAAGCCGCATTCTTAGCTTGGAATGCCCTGAACACATCTTAGGCAGGCTTGCACGTGTATGTCTGCATCTCTGCACAGCAGCAGGATCCAGTTTCTGTTTCCAAGATGAGGCCCAGCATCTTTATGAACTGAGCCGCCCGAGCTTGTTTTCATTTCACGCAGATGCACATTTGCCAATTCTATTTCGGATACCATTTTGTTTTCAACTCCCATTATTTATTGTGGAAAGGGAGAGAACCGCTCACATCTCCTGTGGGATTAAGTTAAACTGTCTAGTTACATTTGTAGCAGGCTAAGGAGAGAGAATGCTGTGATTTTCATTGACACGCATTCCCCTTTGTTCTTAGAACTCACACTAGTAATTTTCTTTCTTTGTCTGGAATAAGATTCTTATTGCTAAATAGCAGCATTTACATTCTTTCATGGCAAAACTTACTTTGATCCTTGTTGGAAAGCAACTGTTTGAAACCCTTTTTACAAGAGGGGAAAAGTTTGTCCTTTTTGTTTTGTTTACAGTGCTATCTGCAAAACAAGTACCATAGAGCTTGAAAAGGTACAGAAAAAGGTAACCAAAATGATTAAGAAACTGGAGCAAGTTTCTCCAGGATGGAGAAGGAAGTCCCATTGAGTTGAATGGGGCTCTCTCCCAAGTAGGCAGGTACAGCACTATGTTTAAGGTGTTTTCTTTGGGAGATGGGGAAGATTGCCAGAGACGTATTATAGAGGTTATGCATGGAGTGGAGAAGGATAAATTGCTCTCTTATTTTATAACATAACCAGGACCTTGCTTCCACAAGAATGGCTACCGGCCAAGATAGGAAATCAGGCAAATTCAGGAAGTGATGGTCTGGTGACAGCTGCCAGTCATGAAAACAAAATGAAGACTTCAGCTGGAACAGGCAGCACACCAGTTATTGATGGGAACAACCAATGGGGAGAGGCTACTCCCTTCTTGCCCTGCTTGTACGCTTCCTGGAGACATCTCCCATTTGTCAGGAAAAATGTTTGAATCTAGCAAGATCTAGCATTTGGCCTGAGATGTACCATGGGTTTCACCCAATCATTTTTCTCTTTCTATGGGAAAGTCACTTCAGGTACATTTTCTACCACCAAGACTTGGGACAGTTTCCTCACAACTACCTAGAATTCTACTAGAATTCTTCCTTCATACACTGAAAGCATTGTTTCATCTAAACTACTGCTGAATAGAAACCCACAAACACACACAGGTATCTCAGGCATCAGTTGTCTAAGAAACTGGCCTGCCCATTGTAAGTTCAATATCAGACAGTGCTGATTGTACACTCAACTAAACCCAAACAAGTTTACCGACCTAATGGAAAGCAATTGTTTCCCGACTTGGCTATTGTAAGAGATGAGTATGTAGAGTCCCATGACTATACAGCTAGACACTTGGCCTCTGGGGGCTGTAAGCAATAGAAAGAGGGGGTAGGGAGCAAAACAGCAACACAATCCAATGCCTGCTCTCATCCTCCAAATGCAATCAAGTTTTATTTCAAAAGTAAAAAAAAGTTTATAGTGCAATCTTGAGACAGATCTGCTTAGAAGTCCCATTTTCAGAAATGAAACTTACTCTTAAGTAGGAACACCAGAAGCTGCTTTATATGGGATCAGACCAATGGTCCAGCTCAGACAGACTGGAAGCAGCTCTCCAAGATTCCAGGCAGGACTCTCTCTCAGCCCTACTGAACCTGGCACTTTCTGCTTGCAAAGCTGAGGGCTACAGCCCCCCCCCAGCAAACTTGTAGAACCTTGTGGCCGTACGTCAGTAGGAAGCCCCACTGAACCCAGTGGGATATACTTCCAATCATACATACATAGGTGCATACTGCAGGTCATAGTACTGTCAATCCCAGTCTTAAACATAATGTTTTTAAGTAAGCTCAACTGAAAGCTGGCGTGTGTAAAAGGAGATCGTATTGATTGTCACACAAGAGGCTTATGAAGTACTTGAAGTAACATGACGAAAACAAGGCAGGAAAACAGACAAATATTTATTCAACTGATCTTTACCTTTACAAAAGAAAAAAAGTGAAACTAAAAATATTAACTGCAACCGCCTTCCTGCAGTCAAGATGCTCAAAACATGCCAATCCCAAACACATCTCTGTCGAACAGAGTCCCTCTGCCATTTATAGTACCTACTTCCAAATGAGTAGGCATAAGTTCACAGCCTAATACTTGCAATATTTTAAATTATTTGAAAGGATGCACATAAGAGCCAAATACTAACATACTGCTAGGATTGTTTCCCAGCACACCAAAAGCATCACCACTTCATATAGCACTGGTTTATTTAGTCTGACTTTTTCTGCATATAAATTATTGCAAGTCCTAAATTTAACAAAATAATTTTCATTGAATTTTCAGTGAATACTAAAGAAAAAGAGAGAGACAAACATGTAGGGACTCTATTGTCATATTTTAGCCACTATCCATATCAGAGTTCCAATATATATATATATATATATATATATATATATATAGAGGCAGGTCTTGCTCTCATTTGTACCAGTATCCATCTGGTTCCAGTCTACTGATGGTTAGGTACTGTAGTCTCAGCTTTGCTAGTATGAGAAAAATGTAGCTTTAAGACTAATTGTTTATTTGTTAAAAAGCAAACAAACTGATTTGTTACAAGGTATGCGGAGTACAGTGCACTTAAACGAAGGGTTCCTACATCATGCATCTGTATGCAAACACGGAAAGTCTGTCTGTCACTAGATCCTTCAGTATGAAAATTTCCTTCCAACAAAATGTTTGCCTCCTTGCAATAATCTCAGAACTAATTTACTTGTGCAAAGAGAATAGGGGGAAATAAAAGTGACAACTAAGGCAGTACTCCTAGACACAAGGCAGTAGATTCACTGTAATACCTCTGAATGTACATTACTCCAGTCTCTATACCCATGCATGCATTCATGAATGAAAACTCCAGTCCTAAATTTATTTACAAAGAAGTCACATTGATTTGAGAAAGACTCAGTTCTAGAGTTTACTTGGATTAAAACTTAATGGAAAGAAAAATCTGGAATTTCCATATGTTGTTAAAAACCATATATATTCAAGAACCAGGTTATCACTTTTAATTAGGCCATTCTTGTGTGTTCTTTTTTATCATTTTCTATACTAAAAAAAGCATAAGATATAGGGACTAAGACTGTTGTCACTACTGTATTCTAATGTAAGCATAACAATGCAAAGTATTAGAAAACTTTACAAAACGAAGAGAACTCACCAAAGGTGACATAGATCCATTTGGCAGGTAAGCATCTGAGAGCATTAGGAAAGGGTATCCAGAGTAAGACGATCCTTTATACATCCCTGGGTCCTGATGTTTTAAGCCTGTTAAAATAAAAGTTTAACTTTGTCTTACAACCAATTCCCACTCCATTCACTCCATTCATACTTGCCTTATGACAAGAAGCACCACTGCATCTCTATGTAACTGCATGTTTTAAAACAACAACTATCCTTTGATTATGTGCATCTTTGCAGAATCACTCCTCCACCTGAAGTTCATTTCCCCTTTGCTAGCACACATCAACCCAAAATCCTGACTTCTTTGGTAGCGACAGAAACAAAACAAAAAGCCACAAATAATCTGAATAACAAGCTTGATGTCAAAGTTATCACCGCCCTCCACCTTGCCTGATCTGACAATAAAGGAGCAGCAGGTTTCCCAGAGTTTTGATGAGTGGGGAAAGAGATGTGTATCCCTCAATCTGTTACCAAGCTCTGTTCCAGGTATTTGTACCAGGTCTGCCCCTCCTCCAGGAGGTCCTCAGACAATCCAGGTACTCCAGACCCAGAGGTGATCAGTTTGAGAGACACAGACTTGGATCAGGAGTGCTCAGACGGACCTCTGCTTGCCTCCCTCCCCAGTCTGCCTTGGGTTCCTCCATCCCTGGTATTACATATATTAATCATATTTCAGTTATGAGCAAGTTGGGGGTGGCAGGGTGGGGGTGGGGAGGAGATTGTTACTTATTAAGTTTCAATGGCTTGTGCTGTTTGGTAGCGTAGCAGCTAATGGCTTCAACTACCAAATCAAAGTCCCTCCCTCCCTTGATTTTTTTTTTTTACTGCTTTGATTTAACAGAAAGATGGTTTTTCTCCTGCCGCCAACTCCCCCACCTCCTCCCACGCTCCCCATCCTCTCCTGAGTTCAGCATGTGAAAAGGGGGGAGAGAGAGAGAAAGAAAAGGCAGAATGAATGGATTCCGAAACTGACCATCCTCCATGTGATCCGGGAGTTTCTCCTGATAGACCCTCTGAGGATCCTGCAAGCGCCTGATGGCCTGTGTGGAAAGGAAAAAGAGAAGGGTGATCAGAGTTAGATGGAAACATTTTTTTAAAAAAAGTTATATATATATATATATATATATAGAGAGAGAGAGAGAGAGAGAGAGAGAGAGAGAGAGAGAGAGCTTATTCTCCCTGCTTATAGCTCGTTATAATAACCAGGGGGAATGAAAAGGTGGCGGAGGGGCAGAAAGCCCTTTGTGATGCGGAGTGGCGAGCGGCTCCCTCTCTCACCTCGGAATGGGCTACTGCTGTTGTCGCCACTGTGGCCGCGGCGTTAGAAGTCTGGCTGCTGGTGGTGCTGCTGCTACCGGTGCCGCCGCCGCCGCCGCCTCCTTCCCCGCCGCCGCCGCCGCCGGTGCTTTCGGACTCATTCACCAGCGATGACTTGAGGTCAGCCAGATCCCCCTCGGTGAAGACGTTGGCCTGGATCTTCTCCTCTTGCTCGCCTTCGTCCTTGAAGGCGAGCATCTCGTCATTGGCTCCCAAGTCATCGCCTCCGCCGCTGTTGAGCTGGGGCATTTTGTCTCTCCTTCTTTCCCACCCCCCCAGCCCGAGCCACGCCACCAACAAGCGAACTTCTTGGTCGGTGAAGGCGACTGGGGGATTTACAGATATATATTAAAGGCCGGGCGTGGAGAGGAGGAGAGGAACGCTTTGAAATACAGCTACTGGTCTCTGCGCCCCTCGAGGAGAGCAGCCCTCTCTCCTTACTTTTAAGGGAATCTGCCGGCAACTCGAGGGGAGACCGAGACAATCGGAGGGATTAAAGCAGCGACCAGCCCGCACCTCCTCCTCCTCTTCTCCCCGTGTCTGCTTCGTCCCTCCCTCCCAGCCCCAGGAAAGTTTGACTAAGTAGCAGCAGCCAGCCCTGCCTGGGCGAGAAACCGGCGACGGCAGCGCCAGAGGCTTCTGCTGGGAAAGGCACGGAGCGCCCGAGAGAGTGAGCGCTCGTAAGTGCGCGAGCCAGGGAGAGAGCCCCAGAGAGCCCCAGCCAAAGGCTTTCGACATCAAAGCAGCCGCCGGGTGATTGACAGCGGCGGGGAGGGGTTGGCGAGGCTCTGTTCCTCGCGACGCGCTCTGGCCTTAAAGAGACAGCGCCCGTCTCCTCTTGCAAGCCCGCTCCGGGAGAGATGCCCCATTACGGGCATGCAAAGCCCGCCTCACTTCTAGGGTGGGGGGGCCAGGAAGAAGGTGCCGCTTCCCAAATGCTACAGCAGCAGCAGAAAGGCAGCAAAAGAGGCATTTTTTGTTTTCTAATGAAGCGCCCATCGCCATATCTATACATACACAAACACACGTGTGTGCTTTCTCCAAATTTTCTGTGGAACAGGTCCCATTGACCTCAGTGGGAGTTAACTTCTGAATAAAGATGCAGGTTGGATCTGATGAAATCAGTCGAAATGAAACCCCTGTGATAGGGCAAGTCATCAATCAAATGAAAGGGGGCGGGGCTGCACAATTTCTCGCTAGTTGCCGATACCGACCCTTTTAATATGGCAGTAATGATAGAAATTGCCCCGTGCAAGCTAATGGCAATGCTTATCATCATCACCATCATTAAGAACCATATATAGTATAAATCGGATTTCCCCCTTCCGGTCGCTTCGGATTCCCATCGAACTCAATGCTTCAATATTTCAAACTTTCATGTTTATTAAGGCTGCAATCCTAAACACACTGCCAAGGGAACAAGCCGCATTGAACTGCGAAGGATGTACCGTACTTCTGAAAAAATGAGCATTGCGCTGCAAGGCTGTGATCCTAACCCCACGTGAATTCAATAGGACTTACTTTCTGAGTAGACATGGTTAGGATTGCGCTGTGACTTGGGCGTAACCTCCATTGCCCCCTCTCCAGCTTTACTTCCAAGTAGTCAGACACAAGATGTCCCGGTTTGCGGGCCCTTTGGATTGAAATCAGGTCCTTTAGGCTAATATTCACAAAAAGTGCACCGATCCTCTCAGGAAACCACACCTGTCTTGCCCACAGATCCTAAAGCACAAGCACAGTACTTGGAAGTCAAATTCCTTCTAAAGGCACAAGATTTCATACAGGTGTGAGCAGGACTGCAGCCTCATTTGTCTTTACTATGTTGCATTTTATTTCCCTAATGAAGAATCAGAACTTTTTTTTAATTAAACAAGGGTTTTTAAGATTAAACACAAAACAACATGCAATCTCAACATAGGGATTTGATTAAGGAGGCTTCCGATTCCCCCCCCCCCCAGCCAAGCCTGCAATCCTATGCACATTTTTTCTTTTTCTTCTACTTCTTTTTGTTTTTTTTTAATGCACATTTTTTCTTGTAGATTGGAACCAAGTGGGGCTTAGTTCCATGCTCTGAACGTGTCCCAGTCACGGCTCCCTTGCCCCTCTCTCTCCCCGCACCAAATTTTCTTTTGCTGATTTCCTCAGGACTTGCCGAATCTCGACCCATTTTGCACTGATTTATTTTTATTTTTAATGAAGGCCAATTTCCTTGATGCCTTGTGGAACTTCTTCACTACTCCAGAAATTCCACTGGCATCAGGAATAATCTCGACAATATTTCAGTTCCCCAAAACCCTCTCTGAGGAGCAGGTTTCCAAAAGATCACCAGATTGGACGACAAGGGGTGGCCTGGCGCCATCTTTATTTTTAAGGCGAGCCAAGCAGCTTCTTTCTTCCGTGGCCTTTGGCCCTTAGTCTGATTGGCTTTAGGGATTTTTGGCCTTTCAGTGGGGCGGGACTGTATTTTATACAGTCTATATACAGCTTACAATATTATAGTTGCGTTGGTTTTTCCTGTTACACTCGGTTTTGGTTTGTTTTTTTAAGCCACTTTGGGCCACTTTTCTCCCCCCCCCCCCTGAGAAATAGTAATTTAACTTACTGGCATTTACTTGTGAGTAGGCATGCGTAGGATTGCACTGTTACGCTCGCGCGAGTCCCTTCCAAAATACAGACGTTAACGCTGAATTTCAACATATTATGGGTTTCCCTATTTGCCTGGAGGGTGGGGAAACGTGAAGTTAAACCTATGTTCTTTGCCAGAGTTTCCAAAATACCAGACGCTCCAGTTTGGGGAGTTATTAGGAGATGTGGGGGTGGGGGCGCCAAATGTTTTGGTAGTTTTGAAGAGAAATAGTTTCTTCTAGATCATTTCTGTATCAGACATTCCTGTAGGCAGGAAGGCTTTCAAGCAGCAGCGAATGCAAATCTCTCTCTCTCTCACTCAGAGGCTGGGTAGGGCCGCGCTGAGCCTTGCAGATCTTCCGTCTCCGGTTTGAATGGCTCCACGCAAATGGGTCTTCCTAACACGCAACATAGCACGTAATTGTCAGTTTCAACACCTCAATTACCTCCAGCACCTCCGCTCTGTGAAAAGGTCGTGTTCAGCTGTGGAAAAGGAATTTCAGAAATAAAAGTTCCGAAATAAAATAAAACCATTATATCGAAATTCTTTTGAGGGCTTCTTTTTGGGGCGGGGTGGTGTGGAGGAGATGAAGAAGGGGTAGACTTTCTGACGGATTAATGATTTATCCGAAGGAAACATTTAAAAGGGGGTAAGCGAAGGCGAGTTCAGGTGTTTGGAGGCAGCTGAGCTTGATCTCTGTGGGGCAGAAAAAATCGTGGCCCTTTTGCTTGGACTTCTGGCGAGGTTGTCTCCGACGTGTGTCTCGTCCAGAAGAAGCACGTTAAAGAAACATTTTTTGCACGTTAAGCAGGACTAATCCGCATCCCGTTTGGAAAAGTCCTCGCTGTTTCACATACTGTAGTTCGGTTTGCAGTCAAAAGGAAGCGAGATGGGAGAATTAAAAAAAATTGCTACTTCTCTCCCTCCTCGTTTTCAGACGATTCTCTTGGTTTGTGTGTGTGCGGGGGGGGGGGGGGAGTCGTCTGAGATTTACAGCCCTCCCAAATGGAGATAAAACCTTGGCAATGAGTTGGAAACCTGTTGTAATCTGTGATCCAGGAAACAAAGAGGCTCATTAATGCAGAGTCTTTGGTGAGCCTTTGATGTTAGCTAGCATAGCATTCACTCTCAGTTCCATTTGCATTTAAACATTCATAAACATCATCTCTGCTTCCTTTGCCTTAAGCAATTTAGGAGTAAAGTATAGCTTCTATTTAAAGAAACCCACTGTGGTGAGGCTTAGAATACAAATATCACATAATCTTCCAACAGAGCAAATATTTTATCCAGCACATTACTAGTGGACACAGATCTAATAGACTGAAGACCCCAAGTAACATAGATAAAGCCAGTTTATATTCAAGGGGAGACAAAGGGAAAAGGAACTTGAATAATCCATTTCAGTAATAATGATACTACGGTGGTACTACTACTACTACTGCTTACTACTACTACTACTAATAATAATATCAGCACAGGCATTTTGAGGGACTTCAAGCAAAAACATAGAAGTTATAAGTTTTAAAAGTAGTCCTAAAACTGAGCACCTATCATTAATCTGCCACCCCCTCCCCCCGCATGCCTCTGCAAAGTGGCTCTTGAATTACAAAATGTTTATACTGACTCAAGGCACATATTTGGCAAGCAAAAAAATGAAAATAAAAACAAGCATCTAAGAAAGCTTTAATTCCCAAATCACTTGGCTTCAAAGAGAAGGCTGAGGATGCATCATAATCACAGAAGGTGTCTTGAAAGTTTTGAGAAAGTTAAAGCTGGACAGTCATATGTGCCCCACAAAACAAAAACAAAAAACCCCCAGTTTCTGGCAGCCAAAGAAGCAGCTTGGGGAATGGGAGGAGAGAGTAGGAGTGAAGAATGTGCAGGTTCAATTAGGAAGCAGTAAAAAAACCAACAGCACACAATGTGCACTAAACTGTAATGTGCACATAGTGTAAGACATGGAAGAGACAGGATCAATGCTGGAAACACACAGCACTGGAGCCTCACCCCCTGCACAAGTGTCCGAATGCTTAGGGTGATTCTGCAGTTAACAGTGCAATCCTAAACTTGTTTTTTTGGAAGTAAATCCCAAGATTCCAAGCTTAGGTGAAACACACTGAGTTTTACTCTTGAGTAAACTTCTGCTCAATGACTTGACCTCTATTATGTACAGTGCAGCTAGATTGCTATGTTATGAAGGGTGGGCATGTGGCAAGGTTGGGAATTAAGAAACTGGAACAATAAAGGTTTTCCATTTTATTTGTCTGGATTCTCAACACAGTGTGCTAGTTTGAACAAATGCAGCAGCATCCTTGAGAGCTGCTTCTCTTGTTAATGAATTAATTGCATGGGAGTGATCCACTCCCATGCAGGTTTCTCCCCATAAAAACAAACAAACAAATGTAATGCAGGAAAGCAATGTAACATGAATGCCTTGTTGACACCCGTGGAGCTGTTTTAGAGCAATGGATTTGTTGATTACCCCATGATCAAAATGGGCTTACTGCACAGTCTTATGCATGTCTATTCAGCAGTAAGTCCCACTGAGTTCAATGAGGCTTACTACCAGGTAAACTGTAATAAGATTACAGCAAAGGTGGGGAACCTGTGACCCTTCAGATGTTGCTGGTTGGGGCTGATGCAAGCTGGAGTTCAGCAACATCTGGAGAGCCAAAGGGTCCCCATCCCAGGATTACAGCCTTAATATCCAAATTTGGAATAACATAAGCATGGGATTTAAATCACTTTACCAGAATCAATCCTTTAGACACGAAACATATAATGTTAATTAATGTCTAACGTGCATAGTCCAAAATAAAAATGGTTACACTTGGGGAAAAAAGAAAAAAGAAAAACCAACTCTTGGATATCTTATTGGAGCAACATCAAAGTAAAACAAGGAGCTTGGAGCATTTGTCAGATCATATCTGCATGGAACGTCAGAGGCTGATTTGTATTATTTGTATGGAAAAAGTCCCAAAGAACCAGTTTGGCACTAAATATCTTCATTACATTGTCTGACTTGCATAGGTGATTTAAATAAATCTAGCTTTTCCACTTTAATAATTTGGAGACTATGCTGCCAACTATGAATTTAAACAAAACAAAACAATTTCTGATGTCTTTGTTCCTTTGG